TTGTTACCTCTGCTTTTCCTAATTCTATCATCCTTTACTTAGACAATAAATTTAGCCAATGTCTTAGTCCTTTTTGTGTTGTTAAAAAGAGGTACCTGAGATTGGGTAACTTGTAAACAAAAAAGGGCTATTTGGCTCACGATTCTACTGGCTACCAGATTGGGCATCTGGTGAAAGTCTCAGGCTGTATCCACTCATGGCAGAAGGGGAATGGGAGCTGGTATGTGCAAAGATCACATGGCAAGAGAGGAAGCAAGAGAAAGAGAAGAGGTGCCAGGCTTTTTTTTTTAACAACCAGTACTTTCAGGAACTAATAGAGGGAGACCTCACTCACCACCCCCAAGGGAGGGTATTAATCTGTTTATGAGGAATTTCCCCCCATGATTCAAACAACCGCCATTAGGCTCCACACCAACACTGGGGATCACATTTAAATAAGAGCTTTGGGGAAACAAACACCCAAACTATAGCAATCAATAAACTTGAAAATGTTTTTAGTTTTATTTCCTCATCCACCACTCAGTGGTCCATAATTGCTTACCAACTGATACCTCATTCCACTACTCTCCTGAGGCTACTATTTTAAATTATCCTTAATTAAAACTCAGTCTTTAAATCGACATTTAATAAATAAGGATATTCTGAATATCCTTGAATTGCAGAACCATCCGATAACAATATGATGCAATCCACATTTGTGATTTTAATTTTTCGGTAGCCACATTTAAAAAGTAAAAAAAGAAATTTGAAAGCTGCATTGAAAAGTAAAAAGCAATAATATTTTTAATTTAATTCAACATATCTAACATATTCATGTAGCAAGTAATCAATACTAACATTTTAATGAGATATTTTCAATATTTTTAATGCTATGTTTATGAAATCTGCTGTGTATTTTATGCATAGAGTATGTTTCAGTTTGCACTAGTCACATTCCAAGTACTCGATAGCTATGTGTGGCTAGTAGCTACCATATTGGATAGTGCAGGCCTACATCATTTGGCTGATTTGTCCTGCCAATCCTTTTGAGCTTTCAAGGCAGCTCTTGGTTTTCATTGAACATCCTTGATTGCTCTTTCTTTGCATTTTTGCTGACTTTCCTTTTTTGTTGTCTCTTGTCATCCTATAAAAAGTGCCACTCCTTCCTTCTGAAATAAGATCTGCCTCACTCCTCTACTTTATTTCAGTCTCTCTGGGCACTGAGTACCCTGAATGTCATTTCAAATTGATGGGACGTCCATGAGCACATTGTTTAGGACAAACTGAAAGGAAGAAACTGAGAAAAGAGACGCAAAATGTTCAAAGTTTCTCCTTTAATCTTTCATTGCCTAGAACCAATTTCCAAATCATACTTTGGATGCTTTTTGTTCTTTCTTCCTTTCCACATCCTGTCAACTTATGGCTCATGTTTTCATACTTTCTGTGAGGACCATGTTCTGCAGAAATGTCCCAATGCATTATTCACTGTACTTAGCACTCAGGCTTTTGGGCAGCAGCTGATATCATTTAAAAGCTTATAAAAACTGCACTCGTAATATCTATGCAGCTGTCTACGGTAGCTACTTGTGGGTTGCAATGACTGAGTTATTGGGTGGCAGAATATTATGGTTGACATGTGCTTGGTTATTTAGGGTGTCTTGTTTTAGCATCTGAAGGACTCCAAGAGCTTATTTTGTGTGTATCCTGCAGCATACATGGTAAATCTGATCAGAAGGGCTCTGAGAGCCTATTTTGTGTACACCCCACAGCATATATGGGAAATCTGATCTAAGAGTGTGCCTATATTAATACCACATAATGAGATATAACTTCCTCGTGATGATCTACTTACTTCTGAGTTTTGTGACAACTTGTTTTTGTTTCTTTCCAGGGTTTATCTGGTAGTAAAAATGTGTAGATATAGAGAGTCAGCATGTTTTAACAGGCAGGAATGTGAACAGGATATACTGATCATTACCATAGCTATTTAACTACGTTCTCTCCAAGGGAATAGTATTGTTTTACAGGAATACTATCCTTTGGGAGTTGAAATGGTATTTGCCAAATCTAGGTGATGAGGTCAGTAGATACCATTTAAAAATTAAAACAGCTCACTCTTACTTGCCTTTCATCGCTGCCGGCATGTTTCAGAGGGCAAGTCTTTGACTCACAAAGTCTCATAGGATTAACTGAGGGTTCAGGCTTCTCACCTGTTTTTAGAGATCAGAGAACACCTGTTTGTACCCATGTTTCATCCACTCAGATTCTATATTAACTATCCCTACTAAAGCATTCTTGAGATTTCAGGTCCTTCCTACTTTAGCTAAGAATAAATAAAACACTTCCAGTACTTGACAAAATAAATGATCTCTGAAAGTTAGCTATATTCATGATACACTCTGCTTTGAAAAAAAAATCCTTAAATAATTTCTCTAGTTGTGTTTTTATAGGATAGCCGCATAGATATTACGAGTGCAGTTTTTATAAGCTTTTAACACTCACTGTGTTTTTGTAAGAAATTCTGTTTCACAATAAAAAAATTAATGAATATATTTTATAACTCGATAAAATATTCTTTATAGGTTCTCATATGCACACTGAACATATCATCGATTTCTAACTGGGATATCAGACAAACTTACTGTCTTCAAATAATTGTAAATATATAAGCACAATAATTTATATTTGGGGAATGGCAAGATAATATGTGTATTATGCATAGATTACCAAATAGTTAGAAGAAAATGAGGTATACATCACATGAAAACTGCTACAAGGTCACCAGTATGCTTTTCTTTGCACCAACGATAGGCTAAATTTCTGGTTAACAAAGATTATCAGCTGGGTGCAGTGGGTCACAGTTGTAATCCCAGCACTTTGGGAGGTCAAGGCAGGAGGATTGCTTGAGGTCAAGAGTTCAAGACCAGTCTGGGCAACATAGCAAGATCCCATCTCTACAAAAATTAAAATAAAATAAATTAGCTGTGCATGTTAGTGCTAGTCTGTAGTCCCAACTACTTGGGAGGTTGAGGAGAGAAGATCACTAGAGTTCAGAAGTTCAGGGCTGTAATGAACCATGATTGTGCCACTGCACTCCAACCTGGGCGACAGAGTGAGACCCTGTCTCTAAAAAACAAAACAAAATGAAACAAAAAGCACACATCTCCAATTAGCAGATAGATGGGGAACCCCACTTGCCTTATATTTTACTGTACGTTCTGTGGTGAAAAATGCTAAGAGTTGGTGCAGACCTTCAGATTTCATAATCAGCTTTGTAATATCACCTCTATAATGGTCCTGGGGTGTCTTACTCTAGGTGAGCCTCTACCTCTGGTGTGTGCGTGGTGTGTGCATCTATTGTGTGGATTTTCAGACTTAACCTGAATTTCTCCCTGGCCACCGGTTCACACACTTCTTCATGTTATAGAATTTCAGAAAAATCCTGAAGCTGTTGCAGGCAAGACAACCTTGGCTGGAGGAAGACACAGTGTCAGGCTTGGGTTATGGCTGTTATTTTGAATGGGCTGCCAGTATTCATTTCTCGGGTTTGAAGTCATTCCTCCTGATGACAGGGCTGTAAGATGCTAATTACTCAGGTGTGGTAGCAGGGCATATTGGAAAGGACAGGGACTTTGGAATCCTATAGACCTGGGCACAAATTCTGTGTCTGCTACTTACCACGTGGCACTGGATAAATTGCTTAACCTCTTCAAGACTCAGTTTATCTTGTCTCTATAATGATGATATTACATCTGTTTTAAAGCTGTTGAGAGAAATAGAGGTGGTACCCAAAAAGTAACTGGGAAACTATCTAGCTTTAGAAGTCTCTTAAGAATCTGCGGCCATGATGTGATTATGAAGATGATGCCAAATCATGCTGGGTGTGGTGGCTCATGCTTGTAATCCTAGCATGTTGGGAGGCTAAAGTGGGATGGTCGCTTGACGCTTGGAGTTTGGGGCAAGCCTGGGCGACAGAGTGAGACTTAAGTCTCTACAGATTTTTTTTTTTTTTTAGTTGGAGTCTCACTCTGTCACCCAGACTGGAGTGCAGTGGCCGTTCCCGGCCACCGCAGCCTCGACTTGCTGGGCTCTGACAATCCTTCCGCCTCAGCCTTCCAAGTAGCTGGAACTACAGGTGCGCGCTGCCACGCCCGGCTAATTTTTTTTTTTTTTAATTTATTGTAGAGATGAGGTCTCACCAAGTTGCCCAGGCGGGTCTCGAGCCTGTGGGCTCAGGCAATCCACTTACCTCGGCCTCCCAAAGCGCGGGATTACAGGCTGAGCCACCGAGTCCGGCTTCTCTACAGATTTTTTTTAAAAAGTAAAGTCTCCTATAATTGGAAGAAAGAATCTGCTTTGAGAGTTCCTGTGTCAAGTTATGGCATCATTTAAAAATATGTGGTTTCTTTCAATTTGTTGTTTTAACACTATAAGTGGCCTTTATTGTAAATCAAGTCTACGTGATTGTGTGTCATGTCCATAGCTATTTATGATGTCAATGGAATTTTAATAACCTATTTTTCTGAATACAGATTTCCAGCAATTGCAGCAAACTAAATATTTTTGTGTTGTCTTTTTTATAACAGAAAATATAATTCTACATATGCTGTTTAATATATTTATATGAATTTAGGTAGCTATACCCAGATTCATCTTCATACCCAGTAAAAAAGGCATATTTTTTTTAAAAAATGTATGATTTATGGACTGCATGGGAATTTATTTTGGTTCTTCTTTATCAGGAGATTTTGGATTATTTTCTTAGTGCCATGTGATCTACTGAACTGAGAAATCATTTCCATGCATTTCTGGGATTATTTTGTGTTGTTTTTCTCTTAAGCATGTAGAGATTGAGATGAATAAAATATTTTAAAACTCAACCATATTAATTTAATACACGAAACTAGTTTACATAAAGAGAAATTAAAGTAGCTTAAGTTTTGAAAGGTTTAGTAATTTTCTGAATTTTTACTCACTTATTTGGATCATTTGAATTTTGATCTTTCTTTGTTGCTTCCCAGGTTACTTGCTGGTTTCAGAAAACTATAAGAGATTTACAGGAACAAAGTCTAGGTTCATCACTTTCAGACAATGAGGACCTAATTCGTAAGCATGAAGAACTGATAATAAAAGCAAAGGTAAGACACATATTAGACACATTAAAAAATACTTGAAAAGTGCATGGACTTCTCTTAAATAAGCTTCTGTGGGTAACTTAGAGGAGAATGAAGAAATTGTCTTTGAATAATCCACTACTGACATAAAAAATATCTTGATAACATTAGCAAATACTACTGTGCATTGACTGGGCTTCTAGCACAATAATAAACAAAGTAACCGTTTCTAAAATTATAATTACATTTTTTGAATAGTTACTGTGTACTAGGCACTGTACTAAATATATGAGATACATTATATAAATTATCACAAAACCCTAAGGGATAGGTATTATTTTCCCCATTTTATGGATCAAAACAAAAAAGACACAGAGACTTGGAGATGGAAAGTAATTTGACCAATGGAATATGTCTTGTCAGTGGCAGAGTTGAAATTAAGTTATAGGTTTTGTCTAATTCTTGGGTCCAAACTCTTAAACATTACACTTTGTTAGCTGCTAAGCTGTCTTTTTATTTATTTTTTAATTGGAGTCTCACTGTCACCCAGGCTGGAGTGCAGTGACACACTCATAGCCACCACAGCCTCCACCTGATGGGCTCAGGCATTCCTTCTGCCTCAGCCTTCCAAGTAGCTGGAACTACAGGCGTGTGCCACCACGCACAGCTCATTTTTTGATTCGTCGTAGAGACAAGGTCTCACCAAGTTGCCCAGCCTGGTCTAGAACTCCTGGGCTCAGGCAGTCCTCTCGCCTCCACAACCCAAAGTGCTGGGATTACAGGTGTGAGCCACTGCGCTCGGACTGCTTACCTTCTTTTCTCTTCTTTCTTTCTTTTTTTTTTTTTTTGAGTTGGAGTTTCACTCCGTCGCCCAGACTGAAGTGCCGTGGCACACTCATGGGCACCCCCAGTGTCGACCTGCTGGGCTTTGGCAATCCTTCCGCCTCAGTCTTCCAAGTAGGACAGTACCGTGCCTGACTAATTTTTGATTTATTGTAGAGAAAGGTCTCGCCAAGCTGCCCAGGCTGGTCTCGAACTTGCGGCCTCAGGCAATCCACTCACCTTGGCCTTCTAAAGTACTGGGATTACAGGCTGAGCCAACGAACCTGGCGGATGGCTAGCTTTCTAAGAACACTTTTTCTACAGAGAGTTCACTATACCATCACTTTTGTGATTTTCACGTATAGTTTGATTAATGTTTCCATTTCCATCTCCCTTGTTTTGTAACTTGCTTCTGATTTCTCAGTTTTGCAAGAAGTCATGACCACTAGCAGGGCAACCCCTTGTGGGTGTGTGGAATGTGCATAAATGGAATCAGGAAGTGCTGGAAGCAAGATGAGCAAAGCACCCGTGTTCCAGTTGCTCCTTTCTCCACTTTGTCTTGTTATTTGGAAATCAACACATTTGTACATCTGAGATCTATACATTATAAAATTATTTACACGTGCAGCAAGAAAACAAAAGTCCATCATAGCAGATTGACTGAGCACAGTGAATAATCACCATCAAGATTTAGAGTACTTTATATTATTAATATCTGGATGACTGATAGTTGTAGCTAAACTAAGTCGTAAAGCTCTAGAAAACAATGGGCCAACACTACTAGACAATGGTTGATAACAGAGATGACAAATCAAATGTCTTGGAGGACAGGAGTCTGCAGGGTGAGGATAGAGGCAGTAGATTGCATTTATTTAGACTTACATCTCCTCATAGAGATCATTGATGTCGGGTGGGGTGTGACGCAAAACTCATGGATTCTCTGGCTCATCCCTAAAATGAATTTTAGAGTGGTCAGCAAAGTTTCAAAAGGAAGTTTATTAGAGGAAGGAGAGGAAAGAAAGGGAGACATGCCAGAACTGGCATGGGGGAGAGAAACTGCACCTTTTGTTTTTTACAATAGGCCCGATATAACTTCACAATGAATGATATGCCAAAGAGAGGGGAGCCCAGGTAACCATCACTCCAGAGATTGACACCGCTCAGCTTCTGATGGGAGGACAGAAGGGAACCGGTGGTCTTTTCCTAACCACATTATCTTTTGCAGGGGACCTGCCAAACGTTTCCACTTCACACTTTCATGCGCTAAAAGGTGGTCTTATTATCATTTCTATGGCTTTGGTTAATTAAGGACTGGTATTGCGTCCTCTGTCTTCCACACTTTTTTTTTTTGAGTTGGAGTCTCACTCCGTCACCCAGGCTGGAGTACAGTGGCACACCCATGGCCACTCCAGTGTTGACCAGCTGGGCTTTAGTGATTCTTCCACCTCAGCCTTCCAAGTAACTGGAATGACATACAGGCACTCGCTACCATGCCCAGCTAATTTTCTATTTATTGTAGAGACAAGGTCTCACCAATTTGCCCAGGCTGGTCTCGAACCCATGGGCTCAGGCAATCCACTTGCCTTGGCCTCCCAAAGTGCTGGGATTACAGGCTGAGCCACCAAGCCCGATGGGGCTATCCTATTCTTATATCTGATGGGGATTTCTTTTGATTTGCCAAGGGGTGGGGCAGGCTGCTAGCTTGGACTGCAGCAAAATGTAATTTTAAAAATGTCTGAACGCTTCCTAAAACCTACTGATGGGAAATTTATCTGTCTCACCTGTGCTAGCTACCCTGACACTTGTTTTAGTTATTGCTTCTGTTTGAACATAGCAGTGTATTGTAGGCATTCAAAGTGTTTGGTTTGAATATTTGACAAAAGGTACAGTCGCAGAAACCTGTTGCCCCTGAATGACCAATTATTTTTTAAGCTCTTAAAAATTTTTCAGCATTTGGTTGATTTGTTTAGGAAGTTACTTTTTTTTTCCATTGAATCATACAGCGGTGTATTCTGTGTGTAACAAACTTAAGTTTTATCAGTGAAAATTTTGTCCAGATCCCCAAATACTAAGCACAAGAGATCAACTAAATTGCATAGGATGGCCAATTTCTTTAAAATAAATGAATCAAAACGGTATACAGTGTTTACATAATTTAGACATACCTTGGGGTTATGCTCACTGTAAATGTGGAGTTGTTATGGTTTCTTACAGCCCTGAAAGCTGTCTAAAATATTTTTTAATGTGTAACCTCCATTGTAATAGGGCACCGTTTCCATCATAGCTTTTAGTTCACATTTAAACCTCTGATTTGCACATATAGAAAAGCACATAAATATTCTTTCCATCATATTCCTTAAGTTACAGGCATAAGAGATGTAAGAAATCATTTTTTTAAGACGACTTTTTAAGAGCAGTTTCAGGTTCACAGCAAAATTGTGAGGAAGGTCCAGAGCTTTCCTGTATGCTTTCACCCCTACGGGTGCATAGCTCCCCCTATTGCCATCATTCGCCATTAGAGTGGTGGTGCATTTGTTACAACAATGAACCTGCATGGACACATCATTATTGCCCAAAGTCCATAGTTTACATGAAGGTTCACTCTTGGTGTTGGTCATTCGTTCTATGGGTTTAGACAAATGCATCATGACATACATCTGCTGTTACAGAATCATGAAAACTGTTTTCACTGCCTTAAAAATTCTCTGTGCCTCTCCTATGCATCTCTCTTTCCCCCTGATGCTTGGCAACCACTGATCTTTTTACTGTCTCCATAGCTTTACGTTTTCCAGACTGTCATATAGTTAGAAATCATACAGTGTGTAGCCATTTCAGATAGGTGTTTTTCACTTAGTAATATGCATTTAAGTTTTCTCCATGTCTTTTCATGGCTTGATCACTCATTTTTGTTTAGAGCTGAATAATATTTCACTGTCTGAATGTGTTGGTTTATTCATTTATCCACCCACTGAAGGACATCTTGATTGCTTTCAAGTTTTGACAGTTGCGCATAAAGGTGTTATAAGTGTCCATGTGCAAGTTTTTGTGTGGACATAAGTTTTCAGTTTCTTTGGGTAAATACCAAGGAGCATGACTGCTGGATTGTATGGTGAGAGTATGTTTCGTTTTGCCAGAAACAACAAACTTCCAAAGTGGCAGTAGCATTTTGCATTCCCACCAGCAATAAATGATATTTTCTGTTTTTCTTCCTCATTTTCTGCATTTGGTATTGTCAGTCTTCTGGATTTTGGCCATTCTGATAGGTGTGTAGTGGAATCTCATTGCTGTTTTTACTTTGTATTTCCCTGATGACATATGTTGTGGAACATCTTTTATGTGCTTTAAGACATGTCTATTAAAGTCTTTGGCTCATTTTCTAATCAGGTTGTTTGCTTTCTTATTGTTGAGTAGAAATACAATTTTAATAATTTCTTAATTAAAAATGGCAATTTTAATAATATGTACAGTATTTTGTTACATAAAGTATATCATAGAACTATAAGGATAATAAAACTTGATACTTCAACTCAAAGATAACCATTATTACTACTTTTGCCACATTCCTTTGCACTCTTCCCATATACAACCCTAGAAACACACAGCACACACAGCATTAGAATCATGATTTTCTTCTCATTTAAAGGTTTACCATAAATATTCCCTATGTAACCTAATTGCTTTAGCTGAAAAACACTTCATTGTGTGGATGAAATAAAATTGCAGAATTATACATCTGATTAGTCAAGCTATATAAAAATCCAAGTAAATATTGTAAAAGAGGGATCCAATGTTTGATAAACACCATAATGTTCCAGACAAGTCTATCTGCTTCCTTTAGGGTCCTGAACTACTCAGGTTCTTGTGCAGAAGCTGAGTAATGCCCCATGTACTCAAGTAGTTTTCCAGTCAAACTGTTTTTGAAAAGTGAGGCAGAGAAACTGGTTTCACTACAGCAGCCTTGAGAATACAATTATTTCTATAAAAAAAGATTAGTTTATTTAGAGAGAGTTCTTTTTTGATTTCTTCCTGTGAAGCATTCTTTCTGATGTAAGATTTTTCTTTATAAACTATGGTTTGGCCTGTGGATTCCTCAATCTTGATTCCATCTTTAGAGATTTCTGAAGTATTGAATAACTATTTAGATCATTCAAATGGAGGTGAATACTCAAACATAGTTTGTTGATGTAAAAAGGGTCCTAAGA